TTGCTTTTACAAAACTGAGAAATGCATCCAAACTGTGACTAATGCCTCCAACATTTCAAAATCTTTTCTCTTTGAAAACAGACTCATCTAGAAAAGTACAGGCTTGTACAGAAAAAAATCATCCTTGTGGCTTGATGCATATGTCTTGTATGCGCTGCTTGCTTCAACAATCCTCCACAAATGGGTCAGAGGCTGCGGCAGGACAGGAAACCACGACATGTTCATCTTTCAGAGCACACGGCTGTCATCCCGGTATGTGAGGGACACCCTTATGTAATCCACTGCCAAATATGGTCCGTGTTGGCTCAGCTCCACAGATTATAAGCACAGATACTCAACCTTAGGAAATCAGGCTCATCAGACGTAAACAGAGCTTTGATAGAAATAAACACATTATCCAAAACATGTTATATTCAGCTTGAGAAACTCACAACAGCAGCATGATAGAGTAATTAGGCGTATGCAATTATTATTAGTAAAACTAAGAAGTAAAAATACATCCCATATATATTTTTGTTAGTTTTTTTTTTTCAAATTTGAAATTTACTGCAAACACATACATGTGATTGTAAATAATGTAATTTGAGAAATTGTTACCAATTTGTGGGAAAAACTTTGTTTTTAAAAGGCCTAAAACTGCTGTGATGTCATAGTGGTACAATAACATCAAACTATTATAGGACTGAGGATCTTTGTTGCATTGCATTACAGGACAAACACATTATTTACCTTTTATACTTGTTTCACCAACAATTTTTGCCTTAATATTTCTCATTCTAAAACATGAAAACAAAATGAATAGTCTACTTATACGCTTTAATGGTCAAACATAATAACATTTCTTCTCTAGGAAACTGAGAATTGGGCAAAGGCCAATCCTGGCAAATATCAGTCTCGCTCAATTTGACTTTCCCATAATTCCTTCAAATATAACATCTTCAGTAATGATACCACTCATGTATGACGGTCTCCTCTATTAAAGCTTGAGGAAAAGACACCCAGGTCACAGGTCAATAGGACATATCCATTATATACATGTGATTTTAAAATACGTTTGGCTGAGTGGTCATTTATCAAGAATATACTGACAAGTTTCAGGTCACGTGTAACTTTTTTGTTTTTTCACATATTAAAATCTTGTAACCCTACACAGTATCTGCATGAAATAATTTTTTGATGTTATTCTTGCTCTTTTGACACTTACCAAGACCTGCAAGCCTATTTAAAGATCAGATCAGAAAACCATCATTACACGGGGAAAAAGTATAAATGCTCTATACTTGAGTGGAATTCTCACGTACAGTTAAATCCTTTGGTTTGGACTCTCATCATTGGTTTAATATTTTAGAGATGATAAGTTATGTTAAGAAATGTGCATTCTTTAAAAAAATGACTTACAGTTTAAGCTGCACATCCCATTTTACTTATTGACAGCAGCATGTTCTTTGTTTTATGACTGTAAAAATCTGTTATGCATGAATTTCTGATCATTTATGTGGAGTCGATGATTGCATGTCCAAGAGGTTTTTCCCACATAGATTTTTTTCCAAATGATGCAATAATCTGCATGGGTAGATCTTATTGTGAGTGTTCTTGTATGGCAAATGTTTATATTCTGCAGTGCATTTTGATCACATGACCATATCATTTGATGGGTACTGATGGTGTTTAAACCACACCTGGTATCACAGTTTTCATCCGTCACTTTGGTGCATTTCACTCATCACTATTAACATTTGCACAACAGTTAGTACATTTCTCAGAACAGTGTGTTTTTTGCAGCCGCTTTGGTGCTTTTCTCAAATCAGAATGAAAGTTCTCACAACTATTAGTTCAACCTCCACAACTTTTGTGCACATCAACATAGCAGTTTCTCATTCCATTGAATACATGTCAAATGCTTTTGGACATGTATCAGTTACTTTCATACAATTCTCTGCTGTTTTATAACATCATATTCTTCTGTCATGCCAGTCAAAATGAAATATACCTATGAATACTGAATAGTCTTTCACTTTAAAACTAATAGCCCTCGTTTCATTGCTTGAATCCTTACATACAAAATTGTTGAACTAGTTCAAAATGTGTTGCCTTCAATGGAAGACATCCACTGTGATGAAGACAAAAATACTGTATGTGGCAGACAGACTGGAGGGCGTGAATGTCCAGGAATAATGTTACATTTATGCACAGTTCTACCATGATGCTATTTCTTATGTTTGCTCTGCGTAAATACAGTAAGTGACTGGATTTATTTTGCACCAAGCTGTATAATTGCAGATCATATGCAGTAAATGTGAAATACATGCAAACATACATACACATACATACATACTGTACATTGACAGTGCCTCAGATGGTAGAGCATTGGCCTTTGAGCCTGAAGGTTGTGGGTTTCAGCCCACAACGGAACCTTCTCCACCAACTCCCTCTCATGTCTGCTGTCATTGTGTCCTTGGGCAAGACACTTAACCCCACTTTGCCTGAAGCCCCCGCTGAAAAACCAAGGCTGTGTTGTCACTGCTAGAGCAGCCATCCTCCTGTGGACTCACCACCTGCAGGAGGATCAGTGAGGGGCTGGTGCTCAGTGAATTGGGTGGAGTTCTGACTGCCACCCCTAACCCAGAAATGGAAGGGGAAGAAGACACAATTTTTAGCAAGCAAATTTCATGACATACTGCAGACGCCCAAGCAGCAAAACACAATGATCTTACAACCTTAACAATGCCTCCATCCAGTTTTATATAGCTCACATAAAGATTCTTCACATGTCACTATTCTTTTCTCCAAACACACTGGTGGTAAGCTATTGCTGTGGCCAAAGCTGCCTCGAGGCACACCAACAGAAGCGAGGCAACCAGTATGTGCAGTCCTCAATCACCACCACAACAGATTCATTCTAAGCAATGTTGATGAAATGTCAGCCACAGACCTGGTGTTTCGAAAGGTCGTCCATCACAGTAGCCAGGCCTTGCCCTGCATAGCCTCGGAGGTCTGATGGAATCTGGCTTTCACATGCAGGTGGTGTCAGAAAACTATTAAACACATTGGATACGAGGAAATATTCAAATTAATACAGAATACATGTTTTAAATGTATGTAATTTTACTCACAATCAACACTGTTCTAGCCATTTTGTTTTAGCAAGTGTTGCTGTATTTGGTAGCTCCATCACTAGCTCCCTTCACATTTTCAAAGTGTTTTAAACAGCTACACCATTGACGATAACAAACAGCCCAGTGCACGTGTGGTACATTGAAATTTATTCAATCATGGATGTTGTTACAAACAGGTGTGCACATAAGAAAGACTTGTGTCCCTTAGGCCCGTTGTCCATCTCCAAACATCTACCTGAGTTTCGGCTCTGTTCCCTCCATTTGTCCGCGTGTAACTCACATAGTCAACAAAGCAAAAGAACAGGTCTAGAACAGGTCTAGTCTATCTTTTTACCTGTGGTCAAATTGATGCTACAGTACAACATCATGATGACAATTTTGGCAAATACAAGCTACAACATTTGCCCTACTAGTACAAGATACAAAAGTTTCCCATCCCAGGCTGACCAACCAAGGATGTATTTTGACTTTTGATATATAAATATGAACTAAATCTCATTACAAGTCTTTAGTATTGCTCTTGCTACATTGTAAAAAATAGAAAAAGTCACTTCTGGAGATTGAGCAGTGGATAGGGGTATTGTTTTCTTGCTTTTGGAGTGTTCATGGCTATATTTCAATAGTCCTTATGTGCTTTCAGATTTTGCGCTCCAGAGTTTGTAGTAGCCACATGCACATGCTCGACAAGACATCAGACAATTTCTTCTACAGAGAGACGCCTCATAATCTAATCTAGGTCAGCGGTTCTCAAGCATTGGGGCGCGGGCTTCGTCTAACCTAGAGGTGAGACACATTTGAGCTTGTTACAGTGCAATTTGTCCTTAAACCATGTCAAAAAGATGAAAGTACCTGCATTAGCGTCTTGACCATGCGTCACTTGTGTATTCCGTTTTTCCTTTTTTTCCTTTCTGTTCTGTTTTGCTGCAATTTCACACTCAGTAAGAATGTGTTAGCTATATTCAAGGCCAACCTCTTGAACATCCTATAAAATGCCAAAAGCATGCCAAAAACAAAATTAATGCTAATTTATGTAGATTTAATCAATTACTACTGCATTATTTGGATATGGCTTAATTAAATTACTATTTTTGTTGCTTTCTCAATCAAAGGTCATTTGAAGATAAATATTCAGTTGTAAAATGACAGAATGTAGATCTGAGTAAAAATTGAAAGCCTCGCAACAACCAAAAGTAAATACTATTTTTAGCAAGCAAATTTCATGACATACTGCAGAGGCTCAAGTAGCAAGTGCTAATAAACTTGATTTTAAAAGAAAACATTATTTTAGTCATTTCTACTCATGCAGGATGCTATTGTACTGTGAAGTGGCAGACGGATTCTACTACTGGATCTGAGTGTAGCCCTGTTTTTTACCCTGATTTAGATTGAGGGCACGTTCACACTTGTTGGTCTGATTCACTTCAACTGGACCAAGTCTTTTTCACTTGGGAGAAAAAGGTAAAAGTTTGTTGCTGTAAAACTAAAACCATTTTCATATGCTTGTATTTTTTGGCCTCTGTCACACCATTGAACAGGTTTTTCAGACAGAAAAGTGAAAAAGAAATGACCACATTCATTAATTTAAAGCGACTCACAGGGTCTTTCTTACAAGTATGCGAAAGATAACATGTTTTATGAAAAAGAAGTAGAGAGAAAGACAAATAAACTTCCCTTGCCATCAAAATGTCCCTACCGTGGGACAAATAAAGGTTCTCTTATCTAAACTTGCCTTGCCTTAAGTCCATTTACATCTTTTTAACCATATCAGTGAATCACATCTCCCCGAAATGAACCAGACTTGGTCCAGTTAAAGTGAACCGGACCAACAAGTCCTAATTTTACTCATCAAATTATTTCAACTTGTATAGCTTGAGAACAACTGATCTAGACTTCCGCGGAGGACACCCTGGCCGCCATCTGTTCTTCATCCCCTCCCTGAGCTTCTATGTCCACCTTGGTATCCGCAGTTACATCTCCTTCACTTCCCACCAGAGAGTTCTCACTATCGGGGGCTTCGAAGGACTCTCCTCCCAGGTCCGTCAATTTGATGTAGCCCTTACTGTTTGAGCGTTCGAGTTTGGGGCAGCTGAACCGCCTCGCCCGTTCGCCTTGCCGACCCGCGGTTACAGACAAGCTACAGCGACGTACCAACCTCGGCTCCCCCTCCCCCGTAAGAGAGTTCAAAGATAACCGCGATCCTTTGGTCACATTTACAGAACAAGAAGACTGTGGAGGAAAAAGCTGGATCCAGTTCTCGCGCTCTTCCGTTTCCTGTTGCTCAGAGGTCACTACCGCAACTGCGACATCAGTCTCCTCGTCCTCTTTGTGGTTTGGTTGCTCCGAAGACGTATCCAAATCGGTGGCTAGCGTGTCTTCGGTTTGACTCATATCTAAATCTTCATCATTGCTTTGCATTTCAATGGCGGTTTCAATGACAACTTCCTCCTCGGAGCAGCCTCTTTCCGCTGCTGCAAGCATCTCTGACTCTTCCGTATCCTCGCAATTGTTGAGTTTGATCACCGGTAGCGTAAACGCGTTGACTGACGAGGCCACAATGGAAGTGGGGTCCCACGGTTTAGGTTGTGGCGTTTGGTCCGCGCTATTGCTGTAGTCTTTGTAGATGCTATAAACTGTATCCGTGAACGTTTGGATGTCTCTCGAATAGCTACGAGGCCTTTCGACAAGCGATGGGCGCCTGAAAACCTCATCGCTACCAAGTTCGCCCTGAAAACCTATTCCAGTAGACGGCCAAGAACTTCGGGTCAACTTTCCGCTTGCTGCATGTGGATTAGAAGGCCCCTCCGCGCTCCTCGCTTGTGTGTAATTTACCAAACCGTTCAGCGGGGAGTACTCCTTAGCCCGAACGCTATGCAAGTCTATCACCGTGGAATAGATGTCCCGTAAGTTTATGATTTTGGTTTTCTTGTCTCGGTTTTCGTGGAGCACAGCATTGGCGCAAATGAACAAGAAAATTCCGATTCCCATCACGAGCGGCCCAAAGACTTTAAGATTGTCGGAGTATAAGTAGTTATTGAGGAAATCGCATAGAAATCCACAGTGCGACGCTGGCTCCGGGATACCATTGCTGCTGTTATTAGCATGGCTAGCGTTAAACATGTGGTCCAAAGGTGTTTTCTCAATGGTAACATTAGCAGAAGTAGCATGATTTTTTGCGTAGCTTCGATAGAACACCCCAGTGCGCCTCCTCTCCTGGTATTCCTGTTGGTTTTGACTCGGCCAGTATCCCAAAACAGCCATGGAGACGCCAACTAATAAAACCAATATTCCCACAGCTGCCACGAGGCCGGCCGGGGAGCAAAGGTTTAGCTTTCCTTTGACCACAACCACATCATTCTTTTTCTTCTTTTTGGCTTTCCGCTTGCGTTTGTTTTCGGCACGGTTTTTGGCACGTAAGGAATCCTGGCGCCGGTTCATGCGCAGTAGTCCACCGGTGGCGATCATGGTGGCAGGCGGAAGGCAAGGTCGTCAGTCAATCTGAAAGAACACAAAACAAGAGGAGTTTAATTATTTATTTAATCATGTAATTGTCATACATAGGCTCTGAATGAGTGGTTTAATGTGGTTTTTGTTCCTGTCTGAAGTAGATTTTGTAGGCATAAATCATACTTTAAGGTTAAGGTATGTTTTATTGTCTGTGTAGGGAAATTTGCAGTAGAGGAAACCAGAGCAAACAGAGGAAACCTACATAGACATGGGGAGAACATGCAAACTCCACTCAGAAAGACCTTTACTGAGCAGGATTCAACCTTACTCTGCGGAATGAGCTGTTCAAATAAAGATAGAAAGAAGATAGTTAATATTGTTATTTTGCATTCCCCTGCGCAACGGATTAAATTGTCTTTATTTCTTAGGAGGGTAAAAACTAGCATGTTCTTTCTATTCCAGTTCAATCAATCTAATTAGATCTATTTGCAACATTTCAAAATACTGTCATGTGCTAAATTAGACCCAATGGAGGGCCACATTTGGGTAACAGGTTGCAGACATGACTTAAGCAAGTTTATATGTATAACGCAGTTCATACACAAGCCATCTTTTGCTTTACAAACAAAGACAGGGAACATCAAAATCCTGCACAATTTTTTTTTGGGTCCAAATAACAATCCCACTAGAGACATATATGCCTTATTTTTTATTGTGTATGTCTGTTGTTGCGTCTAATTGTAATGTTTTGTCTAGTATTTCATACATAAATATTTACAGAAGATACAAAAAGTAAATTGTCCACAGAAAGTCAATTTTTTTTGCAAAACCATGTTGTGTCTGCATCTGTTAATACTAGGGCTGTCAACATTATCGCGTCAACGCGCGTTAATTAATTTTTTTCATTAATCGCACAGGCGTGACCAGTGCTCACAATAAAAACAGCGCTGCAAGAAACAGTCCGTCTCCCCCATGTCTTCTCCCAATGCAAAAAAAATACGCTAAATTAAAGCCGGGGTACCTAACTTTTCCTTTGCACTACCATTTCATGTTGTTTGTGCCCAAAAATGAAATGTTGTGAGCAAATCAAACATATTTAATGACAGCCATTGGCTGACATGCATTTCAGACTTTTTTCAAATGTCCCATTCTCATCCCTGTTACAAACAATAGTTTGTAGAGGCACAATAATGAAGAGGATCCACAGCCTTTATGAGACAGAGAAAAAGAAGAAAGCGGAGGCTAGCAGATGAGGAATATGTCGAGCTGAAAAAATACTGTCTATTACAGAAAGACAGAATGTTAATAATGTCAATGCCATTTTATGTGGATTTATTGTTATAATAAACAAATACAGTACATATGTACACTATGTCATCATTTATCTTTCCATTCAAACAACCATTTACAGAAAAATATGGCATCATTTTGCCGATAGTTCGAAATGTTTAATGATTAATTACGATTAATTAATTTTTAAGCTGTAATTGACTCGATTTAAAATTTTAATCGTTTGACAGCCCTAGTTAATACGCATTAGCAATTGGCTACAGCCGTTCTAATCGGCTTCTTCCACACTCGGCCATTACCATGGTGAAGTGGAACTCAGTCAGTCCACTCCTAATATACTAGTCAAAGCATGCTTTTGATGAGACAACAACATGCAACACAACGCTAATAATGTGTCCTTTAATTATCAACAAAGTCCTAATTAAAGAATGTCGAGTTCAACCAGCTTCCTTAACACACTCCTTTAAAGGATTTCAGTCTTGAGTGCAGAACTATGAATGCATTCACAGACATTATAGTGGGGATTTCAGTGGCCGATTGCTCTTAATCCGGATTTATGGTACATGCAAGGCCATGAATGCTCTCACATACTGTACACTTCAATCTATTTACAGTTGCACTATTCGTTTACAGTCTGTACTTCCATTATATAAGCTTTTTCTTTTCCTTTCTTTGGGGTATTTGTACATAAGCTACTGTAAGCCTTGAGAGATGAAAAAAGGGGACAGAGAATAAGAATGAAAATATACAATACGTTTACGAGACTTCTAGTTTGGAGTTAGCTGACATTACAATAACAATAAACAAACACAGATTACACCTTGAATGGCAACAAGGAAGACTGGTATTGCAGATATTTTACATATAGAGCAATGGCGTTTTTGAATGCAGAAGAATAGTGATGACCATGTACATGAGTCATATGAAAGTGGAAGCTGTTTCTTACTCTTACAGTATTTTTTGCAGTGTTGATGTGTGGGATATGTCTGCTACCTTCCTTTTTGCATCTGTTTGGTGGGATTATTTTAAACGCTGTGTAAAGCAGAGCTATTACACAGTCTTATCCTGGATTCTGAACCCTTTTTACATCCTCACTATCATGTGTTCCATTACAGTGCTATATAAAACCTTTTGGGACCTTCATAAAACCATAAATATACATTTTTAATCCTGCCGAATGATTCTGTATCCAGGGAACAGTGAGAGGGGAGAGCATGTAGAGAAAATCTGCTCCCTCTGGATCCAACGCTGTGAATTCATTAGGAAGATGTATGGTATGTGTGCACCACCTGGTCACAGAATTCAAGTTTATTAGATTTAGGTGCCAGCTTTCTACACATTGGTAAAATTCAAACATTCTTACAAGTGCATTTCACTTTTCATTTCAAGTTATCTGTTATAGAATGTGTAAGGTCTCCTGCTTCTGCTGTACAATGGTTTGGCCTTAACATAGTCTCAAAATAATCTTTCATTCATTGATTTCATGGCTCATTGACAGGATATTTTGGTTTTAAAAACGACATTTTGTAAAACCCATTTTGATGAGTAGTTGAGCACTGCTGATGAAAGTGAAAACATAAAACCAACCGGAAGTCTTTTTAATTCCATCTACGCTAATATTAGGACGATCTATGATGTCATATACTTTGGAATTGCTCAAGGTTGAAATACGTTCTATACAATTGTATGCCTTCAATGAGACCCTGCCATATTGGATTTAGATCTCAATCTAACAAAATGCAATTTCTACCGCAATATGGGGCTTTGTCATTTCTAATAACATACATTTTCATGTTTATCCCATTGGCTGTGTGCGAGAAGTGAACTAACCGAATGCTGATGTCCCACAGTGTTTCTTATATGGACATTTGTTCTGATGGGGTTAGCTTCATGCCGTAACAGGGGCAGAGGTTTTGCTAACATGATTCCTAAGACAAGCTGGAGTTTCCCCCACAGATGAAGGCTAAAAATTGTAATGGTCAAAACTGATACAAAGATCCATAAAAATATTTATGGACTCTCATTCCATTATTATTCTTTTTACTACCATATTATAAAGCCAAAGCAAATCAGTCGATCAAAATTGTGGAATATGGAAAGGTAATGCTTATACTGCAGATCAGACCAGACAAAGCACAGCATCTATCCAGGGCACAATCACATACTGCATGAACTCAAAAGATAGCAAATTTACGCCTCTTGTTGTGTCCTTGGACATCCCTGCATTGTTCTACAACTGACAACTGAAAATTACTTGGTAGATACTTATTTCCACTGTCCCAGGAGCAGTGTTGCGTCAACAAGAGTAAGAGCAAATGACAAATGGTGCCATAAAAGTGTGATAAAAACTTGTGCTTAGACAGCAAGGACAAATCATGTAAGAAAGAACAAAAAAGCTGCCAAGTCTTCATCAATCTCTCTCCAAACTTGGCCTCAACAAACAACAAACACAATGACATAACTTCAAAATATAGAAATGCCTTCGCTGTCGGCAAAGAAGGGCTGTCATGTCTTCAGCAGTCAGCTGCAAATACAGTCTTCCAACAAACCATAAATATGAATTAAATTGCAACTTGTTAGATTGAGGGTCTGCTTTACATCCAATACATGCATGAATCTGGTGAGTGGTGGACAGTAGAGCTCTCTCACAACCCATTGTGGTCTCGGAGAAGTGAAGTGAGTCCGATTGAAATGAGGAAACAGTGTGCACGGACCATCAGCAGAGACGAAGGGCCTTTACCTTGGTCTCACACATGGGACTCACCTCTCCAGAGACCACAGGGGGCGTAATCTGTGAGATGAATCTGCCCGATCTGTCAGACTAACCGCATCTGGTAACAACAGCTGATAAGATACATGTCTCCACTGACGAAGACGGAAATCTACTGCCCAAACATGTGGTATGTAAGTAAGTAAGTAAGTAATCTTTATTTATATACCGCTTTTAACAGACCAGAGTCACAGGTTTTACAATTGTTATATTTGGGCATTTGTCTCTCACTCCACACAGAGATGGGAGCAGGGTCGCCAAACAGGAGGCGCATGCCAGACCTATTGTATATATTTTTAGTGGTAGGGGAAACCGAAGTACCCGGAGGAAACCTCCTGGTAACTAAGCAGAACCAGCTTCTTTACAACTTTTTGTCTTCACATGAAGAATACATGATTAACTTACATTTATGGACCATTCAAGTATTGTACAAAGAAAAGAGTCTATCAATCCAGCCTTTCCATTCTCTTTCACCATTGATTGGGGACAGACATCAAACAGGGGACTAAGCACAATTGACCCTATACATCGGCAGCACAAGTAAAAATCCCGCTTTTTGTCAATCACTGTTTTTGATGTGAAATAGCATGTGTCAAAGCTGCATTTGAATTCGCACTGAGGAGACGAGGAGCCGCGCTGACGGCAGAAGGCCAGCCATCACAGTGTGTATAAGCGAGTGGAGCAGAGCCAGAGCAGCATCAGGAGAAAGCAGCGTAATGTGGGCAGACAAGCAGCCAGCAGCAAGTTCACCGCACCCCTCCTCCACTATCGCACCTACTGAAACAAGGTCCAAAAATATAACATACACGGCTGTTTTCTCCATTCATCTTCAGCTGGAATTGGTTTGCAGCGAGGTCCTTTGCACTAAAGGAGACATCTGTTGAGCTTGACCATGTTGCAACAGTGTTTCGTAGACAAAAAGTGAGTAGTTTATGCTGCATATTGAGATAAATAGATC